TTCCTCACCCGGAGACTGAGTGTCCACCGCAGCCAGCTGGTGCTGTTCTTTAGACGACCTCTGGACCACAACATATTTCCCCTCATCGGTCATGAGAACGTGCATGCTGTGTTGCTTTTGCTCTAAAATGAGAATGACGTGAATTACAGTTTAATATGACACACTAGAATAATCATGTTTCCGCCGAGCCTCTTGGTTCTGCAGAAAAGCAGAATCAGGTTTCTGAGCACCAAAATGTCTGCAGACAGAATTTTTAACTTAGCAGAAAATCACACAAGATTAAAAAAGACAGAAAACGCCTTCGGGGCGCCGACGTCGGTGCAAAGCTGCGGCAGCTCGGCGCTACACAAGCAGGTCGTCTTTCGCTCACGCCTCTGTGACTTTGAGACGTGAGCGAAAGCAGCTTTTCGGATGTGCTGCTTCTTGTTCTGACCTGCATCTTCTGGTTTCTACGTCTGATGGGCTCGGGCCAAGTTTTAATCTAAAATATGATTTTATGTCCGTGAAACTTCAGAATCTGGAACAAACATGTCTAATAGTGTCTGATGTGTACTAAATGTTGATTCCTTGAGGACTTTTTAACTACACCTGCAGGCATGGAGGCAGTTTTGACTTTAGTAGTGTGTGTGTGTGTGTGTGTGTGTGTGTGGGGGGGGGGTGTCTTTACAGAATGCTCTAATGGGAAGCAGGCTTCAACACAAGCTACTTGGTCCTAGTGCTCCACCAGTATCTGTTTAATACAGCGTAAGATTAAAGGATTAAGGACGGGGCGTTTCTGTCATACGCTGAACTAGTGCAAGAGTTGAACTTAGAGGGAAGGGGTCACTTTTGGAAGTTCTTGCAAATGAGAAGTTGTGTTACCTCGCAGACGTATAATATAGAAGACAACACAGTAACCGAGTACATGAACCTTCCAGCTAGTAAACAAAAAGCCTCGCAGGTCTATAGAACCATGAACTCTCTCCTCAGTGACGACTCCAACCAGTTAAAAATGATCTGGCAGAAAGATCTTGGCATAACGTTTGATGATGATAAATGGAAAGCGATTGTTGTTAACTGTGGTAAACACGTAAGAGAGGTGAGGAGTAAACTCTTATAATGTGCTACACACATACTATTACACACCATGTAGACTGTTTAGAATGAAGCGATTCATGTTGGAAATGCAAAACGAGTATTGGGACGTTCATGCGATGTATTTGGGAATGTGCTCCTATCAGATGTTCCTGGACCCGTATTGGTGTGGAACAGACATCCCTTTTAACCCAGAACGGTGCTTATTGGGAGATAAATCTCAGTTGCCTAATGTAAACAAGTGTAATTTTTAATCATCTCAGCCTGTCGAGTCATTTTAAGACGCTGGAAAGCAGCAGAAGCTCCAGAGGTTAAGGGACGGGTCTGTGCAATGGCCGAATCTGCATCGTATGAATGTATGCTCAGTAGACTGAGTGAAGACAACAGAGAGGGAACTTCTCACTGGGATGGATTCTGGAAGTTTATAAAGACAGACAAAGGCCGTGGGTGAAGTCAAGCACGTTATGTGACTGCTGTTATACCGACGCTACGTGTCTGCATATGATCGGGACCTGTATCCAAAATCAGCTGTTATATCTGTATGTTTAGTCCCTCCGTGTTTAGTATCTATTGAGACTGTTATGTACCATCCCCTAAAAGAAAGTTCAATAAAAGCTTGAATTTAAATATATATATATATAGCGTAAGATTGTTTTTGGACGGTGAAAACTGCAAAAAGAAAACGATGGACTTCCGAAAGAGTGCAAAAGAACTGCAGGGTTCATGTTTTATGCAGGAATATCAAACGTGTTACAGCTCATCAGGCAAAATAAACTTTCCAAAGAGCTCAAGAACCAAAATATGAGTGAAACGTGTTGCAATCATTTAAAAACACCTTTTGTTCCTCACTGCAAGGCAACCTAATAAAAAGCCTCTGATCTCATTAAAATATCAGAGGAAACAAAGCTGCTCCTGCTGCAGGTGGAGGAGACAAGGTGTGAAAATTAAACTAAAGCTCCTACAGAATTTCTGTGTGTGTGTGTGTGTGTGTGTGTGTGTGTGTGTGTGTGTGTGTTAAAAGGCAATCTTACCTTACGGAGAGGAAATCTTTATGACATGTAGAAATCCCAAATTGAAAATATTTGATGGAAAAGTGTCAAAGTGCTCTCTCTCTCTCTCTCTCTCAATCGAAGCAGCTGCTGATTGGTGGATGCATGGGGGGTGTGGCCAGTATCTGTCGTCACGCTTCACGCTCCTTGCAGACTCGCTATCTGAGCTCTGAGTCTAAGGAAAATACAGATATTTGGATAAAAGAACTGCAACGATGATGGAAGTTGTCTATGCATGTTAGGGACCCTGATATTCTACCTGCACCCCTCTGTAGGACTGGCTAAATCCGGTCCTAGGCGAGCATGCAGCCACGATTCACAAGTTTGTTTCAGCAAGAATTGTTAAAAGAAGGGAAACCACGCAGAGAAGCGCCCCTAAACAACAGCGCCCTCTAGTGGCAGAGACATCCGGGACTTCACTGGTCTGGAGGAGGAAACATGCATGAGACTAAACTCAAGTTTTGTGTTTGCTCTGCTTTAAATTGGATTCAGTTAAACTGCACCTAACACACACACACACACACACACACACACACACACACACACACACACACACACACACACACACACACACACACACACACACACACACACACACACACACACACACACACACTATGTAATAACTACATTTATTTCAACTGTTCTTCGTCCTGCCACATGCAGACGGCTCCATGCTATTCCTCATCGCGGTTCTTCCGTTCTGATGATGATAAAACATTTTTACATTTGTTCTGGCCACCAGCCTGGCCTCTTCAGGTGGAGGAGCCAGGATCACCCAGCCCGCCCCTCCTCCAGGCTGCTGAGGAGCCCAGCTGAGCTGAATCCCTCGACAGCAGCCTGGGAGGCAGCAGCGCAGGGGTTCTGCTGTCCTCCAGGCCTCATTTTGTTTTCAGCCCCTTCGGTTAGAAGAGTTTTAACTCAGTGTGATCCAAACGGATCTTCTTGTCAGCTTGGCTGACTCGGGTTTAAGGTTAACTCTGTTGTGGTCTTTAGATTTGATCAACTTCGTTGTGTTTTTGAAACACCTTCAGTTCGGTGAAACTTATAATGAAGTTTTAACCATATAGTTGATAAGTTGTCTTGACTGTTAACCTTAGAGAATTTTTCGTTTTGCATTATTTTAAAGATGCTCTCCATCTGTTTGCTGGTTTTAAAACCTTTTATGGCAATTAAACCCATTTTTAATCCACTGTCATATTTTTATGTTGCCCTTCCTTCACATTTTAACTACACACGTCGAGGTTGTAACATCCTAAGCTTTTGCACAGCGGACACAAATCCCCACGTGAAAGTCTAAATATGTCGTTGTGCTGCAGGCGCTCCTGGTTCCGAGGCCAGGCGCGTTGCAAGCTTTTCAGAAGTGTGGGGGACGTTTTCTGTACCTAAAATAGTTTCATGTTATTCATCTTGTTAGTTTAGTTTCCATAATAGCGGAGCAGGTGCGAATTTTAGAGCGTCACGCGTTTTAAACATGTTTAAAATGTTCAGAATACAAATCCAGGCTCGGTCTCGTTAGATTGGTGTAACTAAAGTTCGAACTGAATGAAACTTCATATTTTAGAAGAGACAAGCCGCATGAACCATAATTAAGCTTAGTTTATGCTTGACGCATTTACTTTCCGCTTGGTGATGCGGCTCGCGGATGGAACGCGAACTCGCAGCGTTTATGGTTCATGCGGCTTGTCTCTGCGGTGAGCCGATATTCTCCAAAACTGTAGGGGGCAGCATGGAGCTCTATGGCATGCATCCAACACTACACCATAGTAGAAGTAGAAATTACTGTTGTTTACAACACGGCATTCCAGCATTTTTAACAGCGTCCTCGTCTTTTCCGACAGTGCGAGCTATTTCTCTCCAAGAATTATTAACAACATGTTGATCACGGTGATCTCTGAGAGCTGAATCATACAAATGTCTGTATTTACCAACCCCTGCCATACTAGTTCTTGCCAGTCCGCCATGTTTTTCCGCGTCCGACCGTCCGCGTGGTTAGAAAATTTCCTAGGTGCGCGTTGCGGAAAGTTTGGGCCGTGCGGAGGCGCGGTGGAGGGGCGTGGTTGTTAAAATGACGCAATTTTGCCGCGCGGACCTCGCAGACGCGTCAAGCATAAACCAAGCTTTAAGGTGGAGCTAAGAGATCATGCATCTCTGTCATGCCCCTGCTCCATCCAAGCCCCGTTTTCCCAGCAACCACAACCAGCCTCATCCAAGCCACCTGCCTCACATTAACTCTTCATCAGCTCCACCCACAACGCTCCCTCTAAAACACCAGCACCAACACCAAGCCAGCGCCAGATTAGCGGCGAGTCCTGTATGGGATGGAGGGGCAGCGCTGGGTAGAAGTATTCAGTCTCCGGACGTTGTTGGAGGCTCGGAATAAGCAACGTGTGAAGCTGTTGATGGACTACTTGCGCACCGTGGATGACAGGATATAGTGGGTAGGCGTAGCCGTAGCGTGTGATGTTGCGAAGGCAGCAATACGCCTATATGGCGTCTAAGCTGCTGGGTTCCTACAAGCAAGCCAGCGCCAGATTATTGAAAGCCTTCGCCAGTAGATTCTCCAGCACTCTCGACCCTGTTCTGGACCTTTTGGATTACCCCTTTGCCTACACTCTGCCTGGATTATCTCGTGCAATAAAGATGAGGCAACCATATTCTGGCAGGAACATCAGTTTCACGATGCAATCCTAACTCCTGAGTCATGTCTGTGAAAAGTTCTTCCCACCCCTTGAGTGTCGGAAACAGACCTGCTGAACTTTTGTGCATCGCTACGTGATCCATGTCACCCGAAGCCGCAGTTTCACCAGCTGTTTGTGCCGAAACCGCTCAGACCCAGCTGGTTCTGGTGTTTGAGTTTCACTGAAGAGGACCCAGTAACAGCAGGGATACTTTATTTGACATCATTTTACACACAGCAGTATAAATGAAAAGAAAATTTCCTAAAACTTCGATAACATTTGAGTCAGAGCTAAAACTTTACACACACTTCACAGACTGTCCTCAGAAACCAACCGGACAGAAACTTTGTCCCCGAGCGCCTCGTTCTCCCTATAAATGTACAACAGGCTGTCGCTAGCGTGCTGGCTGCTTTCCTCGTTCTTTTGCTTTTCGCATCTTTCTCTCTCCGCCTCATCGATCAGGTCGTTGTACGAGGAGATGCAGACGTCGTGGTCCTGGAGGAACGGCGGGTATCGAAGCGAGGCTCTGTCGATACGCACTGAGCGGCGAACTGGGGTGAAGAGGCGGACCTCCATTCCTTCAAACTGACGACCTGGAGGCCTGTTGAGGCACGAGGGAAACATAAATCCAACCAACTCATTTTTTTGTCCTTTCCTAGACGAGCCAAACGTACCCGGGAGTCCTGGTGATCTTGTACTTGACCACGGACGAGTCTCCTCTCTCTCCGTTGATCAGAGCTCTGACGGGTTTAGGGGTCGCCTGGGGGACGCTGCTGCCTGGAGTGTTCTCAGGTGTTGCAGGACGATCGCCTTGGTCTCCCTTTTCTTTAAACAGCATCAAAAGAATGAGTGAACTCGGATCGGAGGTAAAGTGAATTTGCAAGTGAAACACTTTCATTAGGAATAAACAGCAACGGGAACTTGGAGGAACTGGTCCGACATTTAAAGACTAAACACTTGGCGGAGCATGGTGAGTTTTTGAGGCTCACCGCAGACAATGTAAAGAAGCCTGCTAATGCAGCCACAGTCAGACGGCCGCTAACGCAGCCGACGCTTGGAAACACTCGCCCACATGAGCGCGACAGTCAAAAGGCTAAGCAAATTACCCGTAAAATCATCGAGTTTATTGGACTAGACGACCAGCCTTTTTCAGTTGTGGAAGACGTCGGATTCCGCCAACTACTAACCCACTTGGAACCCCGCTACAATTATTATTTTACTGTCTATATCATTTTATTTATTACTTATTTTCTAATTTTTGTCATTTATATTAGCTCTTTTATTACATTTTTATTCATTTTAATCCAGTGTTTCCTCTGTGGGGGCCCTCTGCCCCGGGAGCGGTGGTCGACTGTAGCTTCCTGGGCGCTCTATAGGTGGGGGTCTATGCTCCCCCTCCACTGAGCGCCCTGACTTAGTGTGGAAGACCTGATGCTGCCGGGGCAGACGGCTCCTCTGATGGCGTTTCCTTGCGTTACCTTACTTGGCTCATCTGGACTCAGCCTAATATAATTTTTACTTGTGTGTGTGTGTGAGTCTGTGTGTGCGTGTGCTTGCATATGTTTGTAAATGTTTTTAACCTGTTATGGGAATCTGGGGTCATTTTGTAAAGCACTTTGAATCACACTTTGTTTGAAAAGCGCTTTAGAAATAAAATTTGATTGATTGATTGATTGAAATATTTCGCCAACGTAGCCCTTCCAGAGCTCCACCAGACAGTGTATTCTTTCATCGAGGGACTCCTTAAAGAAAGTGATATTTGGAGCTCAGATGTCAGTCCTGTGTCAATGCTGAGCTTAACAGCTGCTGCTGATGTCATACCCTCTGTGCTGGTTTTAAAGCGCCTACTTGCCAAAGATGCAGCTGCAGATCATGGTGTGAAGACAACTAAGGCCACTGTAGCTCCTACAGCCACATTGCTGGAAGCGGTCTCCAAAAGATTTGCTGACATCGAAAAGGAGCCTCGCTACAGTTTGGCAACCATCATAGACCCAAGGTGAGAAAATTATAAAATAAATAACGCTGAAATGTAAGCATTTACTTATCCATAGTTAATTATTTTGTTTTCAAGTTGCCAGAAACTACAAGTTTAATAAGAAATTAATGTGATGTCCCCCCACCCCTATTCTAGGTACAAAGACAAATTCTACTCTGAAGACGCAGACAAGATCGAGACACAGACAGCTTCTTCGTCTGATCACAAAGGCCTCTCAGAGGGACCCAAACCAAGAAGCTGAAGCCAGCAACACAGGACCGCCAGCAGAGAAAGTGCCACGACCAGGATCCTTTCCCTCCATGTTTGGTGAAATCCTGGCAGAAGAAACCCCACGGCAGGCTCACACTTGAGCCATTCCCATCTGTACCGGGTCGGCCCGGGCCGGGTAGCCCCAGTCGGCCCCAGCCTGGCCCGGTTGATTCCACACATCCTTGCCTTAAGCCCATGTGGGCTGATTCTAGCCACCAATCAGAGGCTTGTTCTAATGGAAGGTGTGGATTTGCTGTCAGCAGTGGGTGTGTTGGCCCTGGTCGGCCTGAAGCAGACCCCCTCGAGAAGAGGGCTGAGAATGAGCCTTGGTTGGCCCGGAAAAATACCAGGCCACCCAGATATGTAAACAACCTACGCTACCCGGCCCGGGCCGACCCGGTACAGATGGGAATGGCCCAACTGACACTCCAGCAGGACCAGCACCATCAGAGATGATTGTCTATCTCTCAGAGCCACCCATCCCTCAGAGTGCATCACCTTTGGCATTCTGGAAAACTAATAAGGAGATTTCCAGACCTTGCTAAAGTAGCTCGAGCCTACCTGTCTGCACCCTGCACAAGTGTCGAGAGTGAGCGATTATTCAGTGCTGCATCCAACATTGTAGATGAACACAGGAATAGACTCATGACTGAAAAAGCAGAGATGCTCCTCTTTATTAAAAAGAATCTTCCCGTGATGCTTCTCAACAAGTCAAACAAGTCATTAATATTTAGCGTACATAAATGCTGTTCAACACGTTTCCCTGTTTAAAGCAGTTGCACTTTAAGTTGTGCTAGTTTTCTGTTTCAGGGTCTTTAGGACCATTTGCATGTTGTTCGAGTGACAAATGTGCTATTTTATTTACCTTGAGAAACAGTCACGTTTATTTTATACATTATGGTAAGCACTTTTGGTGTAACAATAAACAGAGTTTGATAATTCATGGCCTCAGGTATTTTTGATTTTGTAAGATAGTTAATAGGAATACATGCTCCACTTGAATCTGAATGTGTCCTTGGTTACTTAATTTGATTTAGGCGGTGATGTGAGATATATTGACTTTTTTTGCACTATTTGTAGCCTAAAGAGAGCCTTAACGTTTTCAATTTCTTATAAATTGTTACTGATATTATATAATTTGAAGTGAAGTAAAAACATGTTTTTTCTGAATTAATATGTAACACATGCATTAGAACTCACCATAGCTAAATGAACAATTTACAGCCAATCTATGTAATTGGTATCTGTAATCGGCCATGATCAGTAGATTAAAACCTGATCGTAGCATCCCTATTGATAACCTAATATTTCTAACCCCTTTGCGTGTGTTGGACTTTCTTTGAGGTACGCCTGGATTGATTAAATAAAAATACCCAACAAATATCGGTGCAGTTTGATTTATCGAACCAATGCCGATATCGATACTGGGTCCTGACAAAGACAGGAGGCGGGAGCGCATTACACCGGGTTTACAATCACTGCATTGGCTCCCCGTATGTTTCAGGATGGATTTTAAGGTTCTTCTAACGTTTTTAAATGTCTTCATGGCCTGTGGCCTTCTTATCTCTCAGAACTGCTTTTACCCCACGGCCTCTGCGCTCCTCTGGCAGGCGTCTCCTGCTCATCCCTAAAGTCAGGACACACACTCACGGCGAGGCGTCCTTCCAGTATCACGGCCCTCGCCTCTGGAACGATCTGCTGGAGGAGCTCAGGGCCGCAGCGAACGTTCATGTTTAAGTCCAGGCTCAAGACCCGCCTATGTAGGTTAGCTTTTATCTAATTATTTACTACAGTTTTATTTCTCGTTTTACATGATTATATTTTATTACTGGCTTTGCATGTTTTATATGATTATATTTTTGCATTGTTTCATTATTTAATAATATAATTATTTTACTGTCTATATGATTTTATTAGATATTTATGTTCTTACTTTTTTCTTTTATATTAGCTCTTTTATTTTCATATTTTTACTCAATTTAATCCAGTGTTTTCTCTGTAGGGGCCCTCTGCCCCGGGGGTGGTGGTTGACTGTTGCTTCCTGGGCGCTCTACAGGTAGTGTTTGAGTGGAGGTGGGGGTCCATGCTCACCCTCCTCGGAGCGCCCTTAGGCCTGAGTCATGCTTCTCCGTCTGCGTCAGCGCGGAGACACGCAACACCGTTATCCGTCCTTGCGGGCCTGCTGGAGAGCTCCGCAAGGACGGACGGAGTCGAGCTCTCTTTTCTAAACATCCGTCTGTCGAAACGGAGAACACAAGCTTGTGATTGGTCAGGGCGCCGCTGTCGTCTACGCCGCCGCCATTGCACCCTCAAAAACATAAAGAGAGCCGAGGATAACTAGCGGCAGACACAGAGCAGCTTGAAGAATACCTCATGAAAAAACTCTAAAAATATGAACGTTTAATTCTCCCGTGACTGGAGGAGTGAAAAGATACGCAGCAAGCGTTTTATTTGTGGATGGAAATGACAGGAAACGTGGGTTTAGAGGTGGCTAGTTAGTCCTTAAATAAGCCTAGTTTAACTGTCAGTAATAAAATTCTTACCTTTTCAACTTGACTCGTTCTATTCTGTTGTCTCTGAGTGAATAGATAACGGTTACATGATCTCTGCATTAAGGAGATCCGATCTTCTGGTTTAACCAAAATTTAAATGTAAGAACCTCTCATTTTCCCTTACATGGTTCACACTTCAAACTCCTCGTCTTTGTTTACAATTTCTTCCAGGGTGGTGGTCCCCCCTATCTGGCCACACTCCTGAACAGACATTCCCCATCACGCGCTCTGTGCTCCTCTGACCAAGGCCTGCTCGCTGTCCCTCGCTCTAGGTGTCGTACTCGCGGGGACCGGGCTTTCTCAGTCCTAGCCCCGTCACTCTGGAACCAGTTGCCACCCTCAGTCAGGCTGTCCCCATCTCTGCCAGTCTTTAACCCACCTCCTCCGCTTGGCGTTCCCTGCACGTGTTTGAATTTGCCCTCTTTTATGTTGACTTTATTTCCCTGTTTTCATCGGTCTCTTTATCCCTTGTTTTACCCGTTTGTCTTCTCCTAGAATGTTTTACCTTTGTTTGTAATATTTGAATTGCTTTTATTTTCAATTTATTCATCATATTTAACTTTTCTCATGTACCATGTTCAGTGCCTTGGGCTTCCCGACAGGGTCGCGGAAGGTGCTTTATAAATAAAGCTTTGATTGATTGATTGATGAAGAGGTGGAGGAGGATGAGAGACAAATTTGTCTGTGTTAAAAAGTCTCATGGACCGGATACATGTGTGGCAGTGCGAGCGTCCTGTCACAGTGTCCCGATAGATCATGCGCCCTGGCTACTTGGCCAAGGGGATGTCCTTTTGGCTGACTGGTTAGAGCATATGACTCTCACCCGGGAGTCTGGGGATCGAATCCCGCCCGGGCCCTCGTTTCTCACTTTGCCACATATGACAGGATACCACAGAACAGCGCTATGCCCTCTGCTGTCCTGGCGGGGAATTGCTTTGCGACGCTCCCCAGGAGACGGAGAAGTATGAGGACTAAACATCTCCGTGCGTGCGTGTCTCTTCCTTTTGGAGCTGACGGAGAAGCATGACTCAGGCTTTAGTGTGGAAGACCTGATGCTGCCGGGGCAGACGGCTCCTCTGATGGCGTTTCCTTGCCTTACCTTACTTGGCTCATCTGGACTCAGCTGAATATAAATTTTTACTGATGTGATTGTGTGTGTGTGTGTGTGCGTGTGTCTGTGTGCATATGTCTGTTAATGTTTTCAAACTGTTATGGGAATTTGGGGTCATTTTAATTCTATAAAGCACTTTGCTTGAAAAGTACTTTATAAATAAAATCTGACTGACTGATCAATATGTTAAAAAATGACTAACATCGGCTGATACCGACACTGATGCCGATTTATTGTCCATCCCTACTATATATGTGTGTGTGTATTCACTTACACACACACACATTTATGATTCTCAAAGGTTTGCCATCACTGACCCCCCCCCCCCCCCCCCCCCCCCCCCCCCCGAAAAATACACAAATGGAAACAAGTTGAAAAACATCGGTTGTTAATATCGGCCCCGTTTTACTTCGGACCGATACCGATACCGATATGTTGTGCATCCCCGCTATAAAGGATTTGTACCTCGGAGCTCGTCTTTCTTCCTCAGGATTTCGAACACCACCATCCGGAGCTCGTCTACAGGCTGAAATCAAACACACACATTTAGGCAACATGACAACTTTAACACATTACAGTTCTCTAAGCTAGGACACTCCAGAGTGATTTACGGCACAACCACTCACACACGGATGGTGACGAGCGACATCGTGGCTACGGCTAAAAGGAAATTTGACTCCACTTGTTGCAGGAAGTCCGACCCGAACCTCACAGCAGCTAACGGTTCTAACAGCGCCTTCTAAGGGTTCTACAACCCCCCACGGTGCACAGCACCATCAGTCCCTCACCCATTCACACGCTAGTGATGATGCACTACGGTGTATCGTTCAGGCCTTTAAAGGGAATGTTCTGGTGAAGAACGACACACGGCTTCGTTAAACGCTGCATGAATGTGAAAGCGGTCCAGGTTCTGAACATGGTGAGCGTTTTACCTCCAGAACAACACGAACAGCCTCTTGAAACACGGGCAGGACTTCCAGGTTTCCCTCCCGCTCCATGAGGCGGGCCTGGCAGATCCAGTACTTGGCGAACTTCTGGGAAACCGTCGGCAGCCGGGAGAGAACCCCTTTCACCTGGTCCGGAGGGCAGCCCTGTGGGCGTGAGAAACAGCGTTAAACAGAACCGAAGTCCCGCCGGCAGAGCCCGCCCACCCCCGCGCGTACCTCAGCGAGCAGTTTGATGCAGTCGGTGAGGGACTGGTCCACAGCACTGATGAGGGAGTGAGCGTCCGCTCTGGTCTTCACGGACTCCCCGACAGGCTGACCCACGGACGCCGCGCGTCCGACTGCAGGTTTCACCGGCATCGAGGGACGCTTGTAGGAAATTCCCTTCGCTTCTCGCCACTCCTGAAGCTTTTTGCTAAACACCAAAGAGCAGAACTTACTGGGATGGAGACCAGTGAGCCTGATCTCACGCTTGGTTCTGAGGAGACTTACATTCTTTCCTCCTGAGCAGCAGACACCTTCTTTCCTTCAGTCTGGGGAGCAGCCTTGGCTGTAACCTTTGGTGTTTTCATGTCTGTGGCCCGGCTTGCGGTTCTGACGGACCTGGAAGGCTGCGGTACCGTCCGGGACATCGCTGGAGCCGCTGCAGGTTTTTTAGGTGGTTGTGATGGAAGCGCTCTTGCAGAAGCTTTGCTGCGAGTTTCTTTACTTGTGTTGGTTTTGGCGCCGAGCTCGGTCACGGCGGCCAACTTAGACCTGCTCATCGTTTGGGGAGCAGCTCTTAAAAGCCGGTTCCTCTTTTCTCCTTCTGCTGCAGATGTTTCCTTTCTGGACCTCTCCGCAG